ATACATGGTGTGTTACCTCAAGAGTGGAAGGTGCACCTGATAACTCCAGTGTACAAGTCAGGGGAAAAGTCAGACGTAAAGAACTATAGACCCATATTGTTACTATGCTTTGTTTCCAAAGTGTTAGAAAGACTTGTATTTGATCATATCACTACTTTTGCTGCGCCTCTCATTACTACGTCATCACAGTTTGGCTTTGTGAAGGGGAAGTCTTCTCAGCAGCTCTGCTGGTGATGGTACATGAAATTAGTCTCAACCTGGAGGCTGAACTAGCTACTGACATGGCTTATCTTGATTTATGCAAAGCCTTTGATTCAGTTCCTCATGATGTCCTCCTATTTAAACTACATGGGTATCACAGGTCAGGTCTACAGATGGCTGAAAGCCTATCTCTCTCATCGCACTCAAATGGTGTCCATAAATGCAACTAAATCCTCTCCTCTTCCGGTACTATCTGGGGTTTCCCAAGGTAGCATTTTGGGGCCCCTCCTGTTTGCAGTCTTTATTAACAATCTACCTCTGTCTATGAAACGTTCTATTACTCTACTTTTTGCTGATGGCACAAAGTGTTTCCATTCCTGTGACAGGAACCTTTCATTCAGTAGTCCCTTACAAGAAGACCTGGACACTTTGAGTGAGTGGTGTCAGAATAATGGCATGCCATTTAATGAGAACAAAAGTGTCATTGAGGGTTGACTTGTGACATGGAGCTATGCCCCCTCACTGCAAAATTAACAAATGCCCTTTTAGGGTCTCGTCTGTTCACAAAGATCTTGGTGTATACCTATCTGCTGACTTATCTTTGTCAAATCACATTTCTGACATAATTTCTAAAGCCTACAAGACGCTAGGATTAATAAGGAGATCTTACTCAATCTCTGTTTCTGTTGAAATCAAAAAGACATTGTATATATATCTGGTACTGTCCCAATTAGTGTATTGCTCTTTAATCTGGAGGCCCAATCTTGTGAAGGACTTCATGTTACTGGAACGAGTCCAGCAGAAGGCTACCAAATATATCTTGAACAATTTTGTCTCTGACTATAGGACACGATTAATGTCTCTCAACATGTTACCTTCGGTGATTATTCTGGAACTTAATGATATATCCTTCTTTGTCAAAAATGTAAGAAACCCATCCCCATCCTTTTGATATTCTTGACTTTGTATCATTCTCCAACACTACAATCAGGGCCTCTTCAGGATCTAAACTGCAATATAATTTTGCTTCTACTAGTACAGTTTGACACTCCTACTTCAAAAGGCTTCCAAGATAATGGAATTCCCTTCCTCCTATGGACCAGAGTCTCCCTATCTCCACTGTCTTATCTTGTGTCAGAAGCTACTTTTGGGAACAATTTCTAGCCAACTTCGAATCAGAATGCTCATGTACATATCATCTAATATGCCCGTGTAGCAGCTGTCACAACTTATATCCCACACTTTCATCTACATCTCGGTAACCTCACTTATTATAAATTCTAGCATGTTTCTGTTAGCTTTTAATCATAATGTTATCACTATTACTGTAATTATCTACTTGATATTATTATTATTAATAATTCATTTATTATTGTTTGTGTTTTGTATCTCTCCTTTTCCCTCTCCTCATCTCTTTCTTTTGTTTTTGTTCAAGGCTCTCCTAGTGACCTAGGTTAGTCCTTCAGTGTTCCCACTGCAAACATATTCACTGAATTTACTACTCTCTTTTACTTGCATTGTAAAGTTATAAATAAATAAATAAATAAATCCGACTCCTCTCTCTCCATCTCCTCCCGCTAATGTATACCTACAAGGTGTTGGACATACTATTTTTAGTAAACTGCCTCAAACAACCCAACGGCTGTTTGCCTATACACAGCTACATGTACATCTGTTTCACTAAATCCTCAACTAAAGCTGAAACACCAAATTTCCAAAGTTTCTCTGTCTAATCACTTTTATTTCAGTAGAATTTGTTGCCTATGTGGAATGCCCTACCTATTATTGACATAAGCCTATCCCTACCAACAATCAAACATCACTTAAAGAAATACTTTCGGAACCACTTTGTCGACAATTTTAACCATGATATACCGTGCACATTTCACTTTTTATGCCCCTGCTCCAAATGTTCACAAATCTATTGTACTCCCAACTTCTCACCTCTCCACCCTCCCTAATGTATCTGTCTGCTCATTCTTATTTTATTTTATTTTACTTTTTACTCTCCTAATTTATTCAATTTAATCTTTTTATTTTTAATATTTTGGGCACCAGTAGAGCGTACTGGTGTACCTTCAGCATGAACTCAAACTTAGTACACCACTCATATTTTATTACTACTTCATTTTATTATTCTGCTGTAAAATCAAATAATAACTAAATAATAATACTTCTTACTGTATTGATGGTCACCCCCTTGAAGTAAAGAATACATGCGGTGACTTAAGTGTTCTTCTCACTCACAACCTTTCCTGGTCTGACCACATTCGCACCATAGTAGCTAATGCTTATAAGGTGTTGGGTCTACTGTGTCGTTCTTTTAGGTCTACGTGTATATCAACAATAATAATGATAATAATAAGCGAAATGATATTTTAGATTTGTAAGCCGTATAAGCTCATGAAGTCCTCACTAAAAATTGAGTACAGACTTTCTCACCATTACAAAGTAACCACTTGCATATAACTATTATATATCATAGGCTTGCCATTGAATTTTCATATGACTTTCCAATTACATTACTTCATCCAGTATATTAAAGAATAACAGAGTAATAATGAATGAGAATATTGTTTATTTTTGTGTTTCATTTTGTCCTGTCAACATTGTCATTGGTTATCATGCCAACACACTGATGACATGAAGACTTATCTTGTAAAATCTTTTCCTGTGAATCTAGTAGCCATTTGGGAGATAATCTCATTATCTTTGACTGTTATGAGTAACTACATGTATAAATGTACATTGAGATGGCAAAGGTTTACATTTACATGTAATTACTATAGTTATTGGCAATGCATGTGTTTGGTGCATTTAATGGATAAAAGTATGAAGTTAAATCAATTTGAATACATGTACTTTTATCAGGTATCATTATAATGGAGCCCTTCCTTTGTTGAAGGCCATAACTTTCCCAAAAACTTTTGTCTATTCAAAAATTAACCATCAATTGCTCATACCGTATAGCCGCTTAATTTCGAGGGTACAACTTT